CCAGCGGTCGCGCCGATCCAGCGCCCCGGCCCGGGCCTCGGCGCCCAGGTAAATGGTGGGGGTTGGTGGTAGAGAGGGGGACCTAGGCCGCGCCGAGCCTGCAGGACTCTCAGCGCTGCCACCCCAGGGCACCCTCGGGCACCTCTGAAACCTTAGGACTCCGACCCAGGGACTTTCCTACTTGGGGAGGAGGCTCGGAAACCGACCCCAGCCAGGGCGCAGCTCGGAAACTATCCCTGAGCTGACTCCACCCCCAGCTCTCCTCTCTGGGGAGCCCAGGTTAGGATCTGACCCCAGCTGCACTCACAGGTACATCGGAGAAAATCAGACCATGCCCCCTCCTGGGCCTGCCCTCCAGAAGGGCCCCCACCTCCCGGTTTCCTGCTCCCCCAGTGGATTCCTGCTGGCTCCACGCCTCCAGTCTCTACAGACTATTTTCCTAGTCCTGCTGGCTCACCTGCAGATGGGGTTTTCTACCCACTGCTTATACTCATGGCCAGTTGCCTCCTGCCCTTAAACCTTTCTCCTTGGTCTGGAGGTCCTGCCCAGCTTCTCTCCAGGGCTTTGGTTACAGTTAAATGCTTTCTGTCACCGCTAAAGGGGTTTGAGACAAGGCTGGGCACCTAAGTGATGTGGGCAGAGCAGGGGCTGGGGCAAGACAGTTGCCAGGCGCTGGGATGGAGAACTTGGGTGTGTGGTCTGATAATGCAGGGCATCGGGGCGCTAGGCATCAGCTCTGGCTTGCTGCCTGTACAGTAGTTAGGTCTGGGCTTCATGAACTTTATTTCCTGGCCCTTCTCAGGGAGATGTTGCGCCAGTATAGGCTAAGCTGTTCCTGTCCCCTGTCTGGGATGTGTCCCAGGAACTGTTTCCCTCTCACTCCGTTGCTTGTCTTTGTGCCTGAGTGCCGATTACTTTTAGGCAGGACAATGGGCTGGGCATGACTTTACCCAACAATTCCAGCTAAGGTGGGGCTGCCAGGCCTGCACATAGGGCCTGCAGTTCACTGTCCCCCGAGGAGGCTTTGAACAAAACTGTGGGGTCTTGGGCCCAGTTAATTCTCTAACAACAATTCTGCTGGCCATGAAGGCCAGCAATGGGACCCCAGGAGGTGGGAGCTGGCTGGTGGCTGGCTGGATGTTGGTGGGGGTGGGAGAAAGGATAAGGAGTGAATTATTCAAACACTGAGCACCTCCTTGGCACTAGGCAATGTTCTAGGAGCTGGGACAGAGCTGTAACCCAATAGAGGAGGCCTGGCCATCAGGGAGCTAACATTCTAGATGTCTCTTCATGGCCAAGTAACAAATGCACAGATGAAGGAACAAGAAAATCCTGCAGTGATGTGTGTATGTTAGCTATCAGGGCTCCTCTGGCCCTGAAAGCAGGGGCAGAGTGGTCAGGGAAGGCCTCTAGGAGGAGGTGACCTTTGAACGGAGACCTGAATGAAGTGATAGAATGACTCTTGAGAACACATGAGAGAATGGTGTTGTGCACTCTAAGGAGGAGTTTGGCATGTTACAGGCTGGGCAGGGGACCAGGAGAGAACAGATGGCAGTGGTACAAGGGCATAGCACCACTTTCCTCATTATAGGGCTAGAGACCATGCTGTTCAGATGCGCCCCCGCCCCTTCCTCTCTGGCCAGTTAGGTATTGGTCTATCTTTGCCACACACTTTGGATGGGACCTGTTTGGGGTGGTGGTGATTTGGGGATTTTGGGGAGCACTCCTGTGGCCCATAACAATCCCATGGGGGAGGGAGGTCAGATCAGCAGGTAATGGGAAGTGATCCTGCTGCTGGACAGAATCCGCCCGATAGGATCTTTGCTGTGGGGTGGAGACAAATAGACTACGTGATGGTAAGAAGGTGTGCAGGTAGGGCTGTCCCAACCCTCTGATAAGATCCAAGCTGGAGCTGCCAGGCAGGGAGGCCTAGCCAGCCAGGCAGCTCTGCCATTGGTTGCTCGCCTCAGTGAGTAGCGAGTAGTGTTTGTTCTGGAGCTAAAGCCTCCAGGCAGAATCCAGGGAGGGAGAGCTCAGAGGGGCTGCCCCACAAGGCAGGTGGACAGGTAAGGCCCACCCGCCCCTGATGGGCACCTGAGACACCCACTCTCCGCTTTTCCCCATAGGTACTTGCCCTCCCTGGGGAGCAGAGCAACTCCCAGCCTGGCTCTCTCTGTGAGGAGCTGGTGGTGGCCTGGCCCAGGGCAGACACTGACTCTAAAGGAGCAGCCACATAGACGCCAGACTGGGATGAGACCAGAATGTTGAGAGAGGCTGCTGGACTCCCCACTTTGCTATCTATGCTGGGGGCTCCCAGTTCAGGCACCTCACATCCTGTGCTGTGGAGGGGCCCTTGCAGAATAGTGGGCCCTCCCTGCCTAGGCATGGGAAAGACTAGTGGTGATGGCTCAGCAGCGATGGGGCAGTGGCCCCAGGGTGGGCAGGACTGGAAGTGAGTGGACAGGAGGGGTGCTCGCCGGGCTTTCAGTGCTTTTCAGGGGATGGGGGAACGCCACCCCTCTGCCCTTCCCCTTGTTTGTTCGTGCCCGCTGTGGTGTCCCATCTGTTCCTTGTTAGAGACTCAACAGACAGGCCTCCAGGAGATTAATTAACTCCAAGCTGCTGCAGTGTGCTTGCACTGGGGCCCCATCCTGGCAGCACAGATACTCAGCTGACCCCCAGAGTGCTACTGAATTCCCACCCAGTGATTCTGAAAACACAAAAAGCCATGTTGTTGGTATGGCCCTGCCACTGAGGCTTGATTGCGGAGAAGGCTTAGTTGGTAGCAAGCAGTTGGAGGTGCAAGATGATGTTCTGTATCACCCATCCTGGAACGTCTCATTCTTTCCTGGCTGTGCCCTGGACTGGCTGTGTGACCTAATTCTTGTGGCTTACCCTCTCTGGGCATCTTTCTTTTCTCATCTGTAAAATGAGGTTGGTAGACTGGGTCATTCCCAGGATTCCTACGGGTCTGTGCCTGTTGATCAGCTTGATTGAAAGTCTCTCTGTTGGTACCCCCATTTCCTATTCCACGTTGAGCTCTGTTTGGCACCCAACCTGTCTTCTGTATCATCTGGGCTGTTTCCTGGGCCCTGGGCCCAGGTTACTTTTCTCTGTAATTAACTCCCGCCCGTGCTCAGAACATGGAGGCAGTGTCTGGCCAGGCCAGACCCAGTGGCCTGTTGGGACCCAGCCCTACTCTTAAATTGGCCCAGTCTTCCCAAGGCCAGGGCCAGGGCCAGGCTGAAATGTCTGTTTCCACAGCAGTCACCTCCAGCCAGCCCAGCACATTCCTCAGGCTTATCTAGGGGCCCGCCCCGCTGGACTCTGCCCTCCCACCCAGGAAGCATCGCCCAGAGGAGCTGCCAGAGGGCTCCATGGGCCACTTGAGCAGAGCCTGAGTGGGCCTAGGGTGTTGGAGAGACCAGGTATAAGATGGGGTGAGGCAGGGGATCTGGGATCTTCTGATGCCAAGAGGGCAAAGTGAGGGGTTTGCTTTGACACCAGACCCTGGACCACCTCCTGGGCCCTCCTCCCCATTTCCCCTACCCAGGACTTCTGTACTCAGGAGGGGATTTTGTGCTGGCAGATTGGCCTCGGGGCTGCCTCAGAGCAGTTCCAGGAGAGAGGGCCAGGGGCAGAGGAACTGAAGACAGCAGCTCCTGGTCCCTAGCCCTGGGTTCCAGCCACCTCCCTTCCTCCACCCCCACCTCTGTAGAGGGAGCAGGAGCTGGGCCTCCCAGGAAGGGGTTAACTGCCAGCCCCAGTCATGAGGGAGGGGACTGGGCTGGACCATTTTCCTCTGCTGCTGCCTCCACCTCGGTTTTCCTGAATGGTTCTGTCGCCCTGGGGTGGGGAGAGAAGGGAAGGAAGAAGGGCGGAGGGCGGGAGGGAGGAGTGTGGGAAGAGGAAGGAAAAAAGAGAGCGAGACAGTGAGGGGAAGAGAAAGATGTCACTGTCTCTAATCTCCCTGTCATCTGTGTTTCCAGCAAGCGTCAGGCGAAGGAACTGTTAGAACAATGCTAAGGAGGGCGAGGTGAGGAGCAGCCCCGACAGACACGGACAGACTACGGACAGAGCACATCTGGAACAGGTGATCAGAGGAGTCAGAGACCGAGTCCACCTGGGCATCCCTCCCCTGCCTCAGCCCATCCCGGTGCCCCGCCCCAAGACAAGACAGTGGGGCAACCATGGCGACCAATTTCAATGACATCGTCAAGCAAGGCTATGTGAAGATGAAGAGCAGGAAGCTTGGGGTGAGTGACCGTTGCAGGGGCCCTGCTGAGGGACACTGGCTGAGGACGGGTCTGGAGGCATGGTGTGCAGTGTGTGCTGTCCGCTGGTGGATCGGCATCACGCGTTTGTGGTCTCTAGTCTTCTTACCGTGGGCCACCTGGCATGTGCCAGCCAGGCTCTGCCTGCTGCAGCCCCCACCCAGCAGGGCTGGCTGGCTGGCATCCCAGCTGCTGGGCCAGCAGTGTGTCTGAGGGGCACTGCTCCACCGCTATTGTTGAAGTTAACACCACAGCAGCAGCGGGAACTGCTGGAGACACTGGGCTGTCTGAGCTGACACCGGCTTCTCCACTTCCTGGGGCCTCCTGCTTCTCCTTCCTCACCTTTCCTGGCCTCTTTTCTTTAAAGTACCTCATCTTCCTGCTTCCCACTGCTTTCTGAACGTGCATATTTATTGTATTTTTTGTTGTTGTGTTTGGTGTTAAAGAAATGTTTGCGAAGCAGAAACGTGGGGGGTGGGGGGAATGGGGCGCCAGGGGCCAAAACCAATACTTATGTGGTCTGTAGATGAGAACTTCGGGCAGAGTGGCCCTTTTCTGTTTCTCTGGGACAGGCCACTGTGCTCCAAGTTGTAGGTGGGTGGCCCCATGCCTCGTTGGCCCTGGGCTGAGGTTTGCAGGGCTACAGAGATGAGCTTCAGAGGACGTTGTACCCCCAGCTGGGGAAGGTCCCCCAGAAGGCATGAGTATGCCCCCGGGACCCACTTCACCATCATGGTAGGGTGTCCAAAAGCTTCCTCTACTCCCTGCCTATCCGCCTTCTGCCTCCAGTGAGGGGGCTGACAGTGCCCCCTCCCCAGCAGGAAGAAAAGAACTGGAACCAGAATTGCCCAAGTTGTGCTTCATCCAGACTCCTATCCTTCCTTTATCCCCTCCCCCACTGCCTTGGTGGGGTGGGAGTGGGATCAGACTGCTCAAGGCTTCTTGGCTCAGCCTGAACTGGGTGGAGGACAAGGAGGGGAGACTCAGGATTCTGACGCCTGGCTTCCCTCCTAGATACCAGGCAGGCAGGGCTGGCCTTGGAAAGAGGTGGGTCTTGCCCCTCCTGGAGCCCCTGTGGGAGTGCATTGTGTCTGGGAAGAGGCCAGCATCTCACTGCTATCAGGTGGGCCATCCACCCAGCAGAGCAGAGCTGGTGGTATGTTTGGAGTATTATCTGGACTTGAATTTGTAACCCAGACTGGACCTAGCTTAGGGGAGACTGGGCCTTGGCAGCCACTAGCTGCTTTGCTCTTCCCCTGAGACAGAGATTCAGCCCCCTGACTTGGAGCCCAGAACAAAGGCAGAGGCTGAGGCCCCAGCAGAGAGGTCAAGGGGACTGGGACCCACTCTTCCTTCCTGTAGCCTGTACCTAGGAAGTCCCCAGGGGCCTTTCCAGGGCAGAGCTTACCAGGAAGGCACTGGCCACATGGGCAGCTGCTTGGGCTCAGTATCAGAAGGACTCCTGGGGCCCTAAGTGGACAGGTGGGTACAGCCAAGAGGCGGGGCTGGGTGGCGGGATGTGACCAGGTCTGGTCCGGGGTTCACTCCCACCCAGGGAATCCACCTGCCCTCTGCAGACTTAAGCCTTGCTTCCTATGATGTGAGGGGTGCTGTGCTTGTCTCGGCCCCAAAGTGGAGGAGGGGCCGCATAGATGGGAGCCCACCCTCCTACCTGCCAGGCCCCCCTCCCCAGCAGAGCCATGGCAGAGAGCTTCTAAAGCACTGATCAAAGCCCTAGGAGAAGTGGGAAGGAGGGCTCTTGAGCACGTGGCTCCCTGGCTGTGTGAGTGTGTATACTGTAACCAGGCAACTGAGGTCCTCAAGCCCCCAGGCTCGTGCCCCTGCCACTGCAGGCTGCTTTGGATCCAACCTGCATGGTATGTATCTGGGTCAGCTGCACACACTCATCCGCCCATCCATCCACTGTCCCTTCTTATGCTCATTCATGTGTTCAGCAGAGATCTGTAACAGGCTGCAAGATATGAATGAGCATTCTGGGAATTTGCCTTGGGGTACTCTGCAGCTCGGAGCTGGGGGCTTCTGTGGCCTAGGTGGACCATCCAGAGGCCAAGCTGTGGTCAGGGAGGGGTGCAGGGCAGACATGGGGGTCCTGGAGCAGAGCCAGGAGTAGTCTAGTTCTGTGGGACTTCACGAGATGGGGACGGTCTAGGTCCATGGCACCCTGGTGTACTGTGGCAGAGGAGGGGCAGGGTTTTTGGGGCTGCGGCCTCCAGGTTCCCTTGCCTCCTCTGCTGTGCTCTGGGCTACACCTCAGGATCCTCTTCTTTGCACTGAGCGTGGCACCAGCAATGCCCAGGGTGGGGCCGGCCAAGCTTTGGAGCCATGAGTGGCTAATCCTCAGTCCTAGGCTGGACCAGAAGAGAGTCTGTGGATACTCTGAACCTTTAACCCTAGGGAATGGTCAACCCTCTCTCCTGACCCCTAGACGTGTTCAAGAAGCTCTAGAGGACATAGGTGGTGGGAGGCTCGTAGTGTTGACAGTGGTTGGGACAAGAAGGAATGTCTAGAGAGCACCCTGGTTCTTAGCTCTTCCTGTTTACCTCTGAGGACCTCTGGTGTCCCCATGGGAACGGCAAGTAACCCTGGCCTCATGCTCTAGAGTTGGCAAGAGGATAAGGGAAATGTTACCAAGAATTTTGTGTGTCACGGAGAACAGAACTGCAATAATCACAGGGTGGTTGTGGGCCAGGGTCCCTCTATGCCGCCCCTTAAAAACTCTCAATGTGGTAGCTGCTGCTGTTGGAGCCCTGGCCAGAACAGCCTGTGCAGTGGGCTATGCATGTTGGCCCTGGATCACAACAGCCTGCTTTAAGTATCAGCTCCTCCTTTATGAGCTGTTACTTTAACTTCCTGTGCTTCACTTTCCCCATCTATAAAATGGGGACAGTAACAGAACTGGCCTCTGGAAAGAGCCAGGGATCAAAGAGTGCTAATCCAGAAAATAAGGATGTGATGATCTGGAACAGGCTTTCTGAGGCAACACAGTACGACTACCTTCATGGTTCAGGGAGGCAAAGTTACACTTACTTCTTGTCCCCAGGTAGTTGGGGCTCCAGGGAGGGCTGTGTGGCACTGCCCCCTGTGGCAGACAGGTGTAACTGCATGGCTCCCTGGAGAGGAGGGGAGGGTCCAGGAGGCCTGATCCACTGTCATCTTGCTCCACAGATCTACCGGAGATGCTGGCTGGTGTTCCGGAAGTCTTCCAGCAAGGGGCCCCAGCGGCTAGAGAAGTACCCAGATGAGAAGTCCGTGTGCCTCCGAGGCTGCCCTAAGGTTAGGGGACCTGGGCCCTAGCTTCCCCACCCTGTGAGCAAAGATGATTTGCTGAGTCCTGAGGTCCAAGAGCACCTCCTGGGGGTGGCAGAGCTCTGGGGAGGCAGAGTTGCGCCAGCCTGTCTTAGTCCCTTGTGGATGCCACCCCAGGTGACTGAGATCAGCAATGTCAAGTGTGTCACGCGGCTCCCCAAGGAGACCAAGCGGCAGGCGGTGGCCATCATATTCACAGATGACTCTGCACGCACCTTCACCTGCGACTCAGGTGAGGCCTCGGGGCTGCAAGCCTCTATGTGATCTCCCTGTCCTGGTCACGGTCAATGGCCCAGCCAGGAAGAGGCAGAGCAGGACTGGCCCTGGCCAGGGAGGGTGATGTAGGGTGCAGTGGGATGCCCTTGAGGGAGCTGCCCTGGACTGAGGGCAGGCAAGCATCATGGCCTTGCCCTCCCTGCCTTGTGTGGTGGATGACTTGGTCTGAGGTGGATGGGAGGGCTCCTGGCCACCCTGAGCTGGCAGCAAGATGAGGACCCATTTTCTCTAGAGCTGGAGGCGGAAGAGTGGTACAAGACACTGTCTGTGGAATGTCTGGGGTCACGGCTCAACGACATCAGTTTGGGGGAGCCTGACCTCCTGGCCCCTGGGGTGCAGTGTGAGCAGACAGGTGAGGCCTGGCCCTGGTCCTGGGGCAGGGAAGGGAGGGGAGGAGGCGGGGGTTTCCCTCTCTGCTGCCCCACGCCCACCTGTCCCCTCCTGCTCCAGATCGCTTCAATGTCTTCCTGCTGCCCTGTCCCAACCTGGACGTGTACGGCGAATGCAAGCTGCAGATCACCCACGAGAACATCTACCTCTGGGACATACACAACCCGCGCGTCAAGCTTGTCTCGTGGCCTCTCTGCTCCTTGCGCCGCTATGGCCGGGATGCCACACGCTTTACCTTTGAGGCGGGCCGGTAAGACCCTCTTGCCTCCCCACCTTGTCCCTGAATGGTCATACACTCTGTCAGGCACAGTGCTAGTTCAGTTAGCAGGACAGCAGTCTCAAGAGGGTAAGCTTTCTGGTTTTACAGAGGAAGAAATCAAGGCTCAGAGAAGTAATTTGCCCAGGGCAGACCCATCACGTAGTGCTGTTTACCAAAGGCCTAAGGGCTTAAATCAGGCACTGGCCCTGGAGATTAAAGTACTGAGAAAATTATGGTGAGGATGGTTCCTGACTGGAACTTGAGTACTCTCTGTAAACCAGGAATGGTGGCGCACACCTGTAATCCCAGCACTTGAAGGCTGAAGCAGGAGGATCACTGCAAGCTCAAGACCAGCCTGAACTACTCAGTGAGTTCAAGGCCAGCCTGAACTGCATAGTGAGACCCACGTAACTTTTAATCCTCTGTACAATCTTGGCTGAGTTACTCAGCTTCTATGTGCTTCGGTTTTCTCATCTGTAAAATGACTCAAGAAAACATAACAAGGGATCTGTTAATTATGTGGAGACCAGAGGATGGTGGTTGTGGGTTAATTCCTGTGAAGCACACTGACCTCTGCCAGGCACGTGGACGTGCTCACTGCATGTGCACTGGTGGTCAGGCTCCCAGCCCTGCCCATGCCCCGGATGGCCTGGGTGCAACAGAGCCAGGCACATGTAGTGTGGTGGGGTCCCCATCACCTTGCCCTCCTTGCTGTGTCCTCAGGATGTGTGATGCTGGGGAAGGACTCTACACCTTTCAGACACAGGAAGGGGAACAGATTTACCAGCGGGTACACAGTGCCACCCTGGCCATCGCTGAGCAGCACAAGCGGGTCCTGCTGGAGATGGAGAAGAATGTGAGGGTGAGGCCAGTGGACACAAGTCCAGGGTCCAGGGGAGGCAGGGTGGGCAGGCCTGGGACCTCCTAGCCAATTCTCTAGCCAGCGTGTACAGTGGAGGCAGGCAGGCCTTTTACGGCGGTGGGGGAAAAACAGTCTTGTTCTGTAGCCCGGGCTGGCCTCAAACCCAGAATCCTGCCTCAGCTTCCCAATTTCTGGGACTACAGGCATGTGCCACCATGCCAGACTGAGGCAGACAGTCCTGAGCTAGTGCTCAGGGACTGTCAGCCATACCCCTAGAACTAATAGGAAGGACTCCTTCTCTGCCCCACAGCTACTGAACAAGGGCACTGAGCATTACTCGTATCCCTGCACACCCACTACCATGCTACCCCGCAGTGCCTACTGGCACCACATCACAGGTTCCCAGAACATTGCTGAAGCCTCCAGCTATGCCGGTGAGTCGCTGCTCTGCCCCACACCTACGGAGGACCAGGCCTACTGGGCAGGGGTCTTTTGACAATGGACCTGACTTGAGCCCCAATCACCTTCTCTGCCCACAGGTGAGGGGTATGGGGCAGCCCAGGCCAGCTCAGAAACAGATCTCCTCAACAGATTCATCTTGCTAAAGCCAAAGCCCAGCCAGGGGGACAGCAGCGAGGCCAAGACCCCTTCCCAGTGACAGGAGGGCTGCTGGGCACCAATGACTGCTGGGGCCACCTGTTGCAAAGCTGACTGCAGTGTCCTATGGACAGCCTCAAGGGCTGTTGGCCAAGGGCCTGGAGAAAGGGAGGCAGCTGTTCCCTCCTTGCCCCCAAGGATGTGGCTGGACCAAGGCAAAGGGCTGGCCACCCACCTGAGCATGTGAGGGGCTGAGCTACTGTGGGACTATATACTGTTCATGATTTTAATATATATGGCTTATGACATACTCTATATACTGAGATTCCCCCTATCCCTCCTACCAACACAAGACACATTTTTAATCCCATGACCAAACCATGGTCGCGGTCAGGTGGTTTTGGAGTATGAGGGCAGCTGTTTCCCTGCCCTGTTGTACAGCCCTCCTGCTGCCAGGACCTGCCTGAACTGCCAGGACTAGTGGAGGGAGACAATCAGAACTCAAGGCTGGCGTGCCTGCTAGCTTTTCCCAAGCAGCCCAGGGCCCAAGACAGGAGGTAACTTCTCAATTCTTTGGGCCTGGAGTGACACAGGAAGGATGCAAACTTCCCCCGTGCCACTTGGAGTTCTAAGCAGAGGCGACATCTGGTTGATGCCTCAGGTGAAAATCTGGTTTAAAATGTACTTTCTGCACAGGCTGCTTCCTGCTTAGCAGGTTATGAAGATGCCCTTGGGGTGGGGGGTACCATTACCTCAGTTGGGTGCAGGATGGGGGGCCAGGCGGGAAGGCTGCAGCAGGACTGCTGTGGGGAGCACCCCTGCTGCCCCCTCTCACTGACCAAGGGTGGATGCTGCCCCAGCAGGGGAGCCCCTCCACCCTGAGCTTGGCCGCCCTATGCTAGAGCACTCAGAACCAAGACCTTCCCATCCCTGCTCCCCACATGGTGCTGAGGCTCCCTGCTGAAATGCAATTAAAGCAATTGATTTTCTAGTGCTGGTATTTATTGACTACCGTGCAGAAGGGCTATCTTTCTATTCACATCAAACCTTTGGTTGTGTGGGTTTTTGTTTATTGTTTTTTAATATTTTAGGGTTCTGATTTGTGGGAACACTTTCTTGTAAATAACCACTGTTCACATTTGTGGCAGGATGATGACAAAGCAAGAGGCCCCTCCCAAAGGAGCCCTAGATCCAGGGTGGTGGCATAGCCAGCTCAGCTCTGAATGTGACCCAGGGAATGACCACCCAGAGGAAGCCAGTGTGCAAGGGAGCTGGGGTCCAAAAGCCTTGGGGAGGGAGGCAGAGCTGGCTGGCTCAGCTAGTGGCACGATGACGCATGAAGGAGATTATGTTGTGCTCTTTATTGCCAAAAATAAAAACTTTTAAAAAGATGGCTATTGTTAATCAATATCCCTTCCTTTCTGTATTTATCTCCGCTTTTCTCCATGCTGCTTTACTAACCACTTTGAGTATGCTCCTACCTGGAGACTGTGCAGGACCAGAACCTGCATTAGGAAAAAATGTGTGGAGGGGGCCTTTGCCCCTGCCCATCCCCCACCACTAAACAAAATGATCAGGCTGCTGGCAGGGAAGGAGTTCGCAACTGGTGGGTAGAGATTAACAGCATCTTTATTTGTGTGGGCAGGAGACAGCCATGGCTGAATGTTACTCCCAAAGTTACTTCCTGAATTAGGGACAACTAGGAATTTGAAGTGCCAGTAGGTTGGCCCTGGGGGAAGGATCAAAGGGCTTACAGGCTGCCTGGATACAGTTTCCAGCACTCAGTCCTAACACCAGCAACCGAATATATAACTGTGAAAACTTTTGGACAGAAAGGCTTTAAAGAGCTGGAATGACCAGGAGAAACACCCAGTGGTTCTCAACAAGGAAGCAGGACAGCCCCCTACTGGTGTGCTGGGAAACAGGATGGAAGGGATCCTTTGGGTTCTGGGAAGCACAACCTTGGCAGGACCCAGGATGCTAAATGTCTAGTAAAAATCGGCTCTGCCTAAACACCAGCGGCATCCCTGGTAATCTATCTGCAACCACTGGCTAGCTGGTCCTGGTGACCTGTTGTGAAGCTTGAGCAGCAGCAGTCCAGAGCCCAGAAAACAGAAGGCCTCAAAAGAGACCTGAAGTCCAGCTGCTGCCATGACTTTCCCACTGTGCTGAAACAGGTGAGCTTCAATTAATTTATGGTCAGAACATCGCTCTGGATCTCATGGCTTAACTGAGTCTGTAAATCACTCAACTTCTTCTTCAATCCAGAGAGGGCGGAGAGGACAATGGTTTCAGGGCGCAGAGAGCCACAGGACTCCACATTGTAGTAAAACCTAGGAGGTAGGAATGTGGTGAGAGCCCAGCCCACACTTCCCGGCCCTGGGTCTTGTCTTCACTCCCACAAGGAGCCTGACCTTAGCGCAGGGTAGACCTTTCATCTAAAACCGCCTATGCACAGTGGTCCAAACCACTTTGCAGGTCCTCAAGGACACAGGTACTTCAAACAGGTACTGTGAAAATCCTAAAACAATTCTGTATGCAGATGATCCACACAGGGGACTTCTAACTAGCAGCCTTTCCCTGGTACATCCCTTCACATTCTTCATTGTGGGACCGAAGCTAGGACCTAAGACTTTTCTCTGGCAGCTCAAGAGCAGAACAGGAACAGGTTGGGTCGCTGGACGGCCCTTCCTTCTCATGGTGAACAAAAGGGAAATGATCACTGGCCTGGGGTGGGCGCACACCACAGGTTGGTTTGGTAGCTGGTGGATGAGAACTGGGACACGAGGAGCTGACTGACTCAGCCTGCATACAAACTCTACATTCTCACACTGCCATCCTCCTGCATGGACCAGGGTCTTACCTCTCTGGCTTGCCATTGGGGTCATAGGGAGCCTGTGACTCATCCTCATCCAGCTCTGAGTACTCACTTTTTGGCCTGAGGGCAAACACAGGTCAGCACATGGTCACTGCTGCTTTCAGGGCCCTGCAATTCAGAGTGCCCCACCTCATGCACTAGCAGCCCTTTCCAACCCAGACCCACCAGAGATGGGACCTACCATTCCTCGGGCTTCGGGTATACAGTGTGCCTCAGGGCATTGTCTGGGTCATATTCAAAAGCCACCCCTGCAGTTGGGTTCCACTTGGCATGCTCCTTGCCAAAGCCCTTTTTAGCATAGGCTCGAAGTCTCAGTTCCTGGCCTTTTCTCAGCTTGACAATGAGGATGTCTGCAGGCAGGTAGAAGTGCGAGTCAGGAGAGGGAAAGAGGGGCCCAGCTCTCCACCTTCTGACCTGGAGGGCTCCGAAGACCACACATCTGGAAAAACAGGTCTAGAGCCACATTAGGAGACCCGGCAGCACGAGGCTGTTTGGTCTGTGTGTCCCTCAGGCGTGTGCAGCCACAACTCAGGAAGACATCTGCACATCTGCCCCAGCCCCTTACCATCTTGCTCCACATAATCATTGGGGTCGTTGTCTCGGTTCCGGGATGTCACCTGTAGCCCAAACAGAAGAATTTATTAGCCTCTCCCCTCCCCGGTCACCTCTTTTGCACCCATCTCCCAGTGCCTCCACCCTGCAACGTGTCAAGCCAGGGGAAGGATGCTCAAGAGGAGGTAGCGGAGGTGCTCCAGGGCAGGCTACTGACAGCCTTCTCAGTCAACAGGCCTTCAAAAGGGTTTGCTGGGTGACAGGACACACAGCACCAAAGCTGCTCGACCCAAGAATCCAGGATCAGCACCTTTAGGTGGCAGGTTAGAGAAGGCCAACATCTCATGAGGATTCACTCCAGCCACCAGGCCCACTGGGAGCCATAAGGGGCAGCACACAGGCCCTGGGGAGGGAGGGTACCCAGACACTGACCGGAATGACTCGGGGGCTGTTGGAAATGAGGTCTCGAGAGGTGACATGCCGTGTCTGGTCTTCGTTGCACCGCACGTCAAGTGTGAACTCTACTGAGCATTCAGGGCAGAACTCTTCACAGGTGCAGTCCTGAGGCACCGGGGAAACAGGAAGGAGTACATGAGGAGGTGAGGAACTGCAACCAACCTGTGTCTAGTAGCCAGTCCCTTTTCAGTTCATCATCTGTAAAGACAGCCTGACCGTAGTCCCCAGGCTCTTGTGGGCTGTGACAACCTGGAACACCATTCTTATGGGCCACTCAAGCAGAGAGACAAACTACACACACGCTGACACCCACGTCCCCTTCTCACTCACTGGCTGGCTGCCATAACACCCAGGAGATGCACTGCCATTCTCTCTGGCCTTGGAGTCCCCTTCTTCAGGACCAAGGCTATGACCAGAGAGGGTCATTATGGACCATGGGCTAAGGAGATGACCTTGGGAGAGATATGCCTCATTAAAATATAGCTGTAGAGGGCTGGATTTTTCTCAGTGATGCCACACCTGCTTCATAAGCACAAGGTCCCGAGTGTGATTATTGTACCACCCCCAAATATACAGAGAGCGAGAGAGCACGCCGGGCATGGTGGTACATTACTTTAATCCCAGCACTCAGGAGGCTGAGGGAGGAGGATCGCAATGAATTCAAGGCCAGCCTGAACAACAGCAAGACCCTGGCTCAAAAAGCCAAAAATAAAATAAACCAAGATGAGGAAGAACTTAAAAAAGGAACTTTTAAATTCTAGAATACTGACTTCTTTAAAAACCTTTTTTATGGAAAACTTCATATATGCAGAAAAATAGAAGGGTATGTAATATATTGCTACTACATGACCATTACGAAGCTGCCACAATTATCAACATTTGCCATTCTTTAAACAATTGGTTTGGTTTTTGGCATTACCAAGTCAGAACCCAGGGCTTCTTGCGTGCCTGGTAAGTGCTCTATCACTGAGCTCTCTAGACTACCAACTGGTTCTTTAAAAAAATTTTTTTGTTTTTTTAAAATGATGAGACATGGTCTTATTATGTAGTTCAGGCTGGCCTTTAACGTACTATGTACCCCAGACTGGCCTCGAACTCACAGCGATCCCCCTGCCTCTGCCTCCTGAATGCTAGGATTACAGGTGTGAGCCACCACGTCTGGCTGTACCAACTGACTCTAGAAACAAACTACTGCCATGATAGGGTCTCTGTGGCAATTTAACTTTAGGCAAGAAGAGCTATGTGGATGTAATCATAAAGACTGCTTTCTCCCTCACACTAGTAAGGAAACCTCAACCTATTCACATGTAAAGATGAGAGAGAAGACGCAATTGTGGGCCACACTTGGGTATCTGCAGTCTTACCAGGGTGGGACAGGAGGGCAACCTCTTAAGACACAGAAAAGGAAGAATCAAAATATAAGAAAGTTAAAATATAGAAAGGTACTAGGGCCGGGGATTTAGCTCAGTAGTTCCGCAGTTCCCCTGTTCAGCCGCCTACCTCAAAAGCGCAAGGTCCAGAGTTTGACCCCTGATACCAAAAAACAAACCTCAAACAAACAAAAAGTAACCAAAAAAAGTAATCTATAAATAGTGTGCTGAAAAGAGGAGTCTATTCAAGATGAAAATATACTACAGTGCTCTGACTACCAACTACGAAGACTATGAAGACCTCGAAGAACCAAGAGAAACTAGGTTGCACTACACTCCCACAAACACAAAATAAGAGAAGAATTTTGGAGACACTAGAAAAACCTGGATGTGGACTAAATATAGATATTACAAATTAATGCTAATGTTCTTACGTATAAGAGGGTGGCTATGTGGGAAAATATTCTTAGATGATGTTCATTAAAATACTGAAAAAAGAAGGGTCAGGATTCTGAAACTTACTTTTGAATAGTTCAGCAAAAATTATACCACATGTAAAAAACAATTCCAATGTAGCAACATATTAACAATTGGTAACTACACAGGAGAGTAAATGAGTGTTTATTCTGGTTTTTAACTTTCTATAGTTTCTCAGGGAAAAAACACACCATCCTGGGCTGGGGATTTAGCTTAGTGGTTCCAGCACCTGCCTCCAAGCACAAGGACCCAAGTTCGATCCCCAGTACCAAAAAAAAACCCCCAAAAACAAAACAAACAAAAACAAACAAACAAAAAAACCACACCATCCTTGTTCAGTAAGTATATTAGAAATAATTTAACAGAAGGAATTGTTAGGTTGTACAGCTGGAAACCAAACTGTTCTCAATTGATTGTACAATTGTCCCCACCAATATGTGGGGCTTTTTGTTGTTGTTGTTGTTTTATTTTTTTTTACTAGAGACTGAAACCAGAGCCTTTGCAATGAACTATATCAGAACCCTTTTTAAATATTCTGAGACAGGGTCTCATTAAGTTGCTAAATTGTTCAGGCTGTGCTCAAACTTGCAAGCTTCCTGCCTCCATCACCTAGAGTACTGTTAAGCTTTATTTCTTAGAAACAAAAATCTTGGGCTGCAATTGTGGCTCAGTGGTACAGAACTTGTTAAACAAGCTTGAGGCTCTGGATTCAAGCCCAGTCTTGGGCAGGCACTAGAGATGTAAAACAAATATAGCAAAATGACAAAATGCAACAACTAGTTAGGTGAAGTTTGTTATATTAGCTCCACGTTTTCTGTGTGGTTCAGTTATTTCTCAAAATGAAAACAAAAACAAAACCTACATATGTATTTAGAAGACATATCAAGTCAGCGACTACACAGATGACATGCCCTGGGGAATATCAGAAAAAGGGCTGATTTAGTTTCACCCAGAGCCATCAATAGGGCATAGTCTGAGCTGTTATCTATTGCAGCCCCAGTAAAAGATGAAGTTAACCTAATCCTCTCCCACATTCTGTTAATACACCATCAGAGAAAGCAAAACCAACCCAAAGGACAGTAAAGAGTGGCCATGCTTCCAGAGCGCCCCCACCACCAGAAGAGGCATGGATCTGACAGGCACCCATACTTAAGTCCTTCGGCTGCTGCTCTAGTGGAGTTTCCACTCCCTCTGCTCCTTGTCCCCACTAACCCCAACGTGCTGCTGATTCCTATCAGCCTGCCAGTCTCATGTTGCTGGAACAGATACTCTAGAAAGAAGAGCCCACCACCAGTGTAAATGGACATTCAGGTAGATGCCCCCTCTTGTATGGCTGGCTAACGAGATGCCTTTACGCCTCATCAATCTGAAGTGCCTTAAGAACCAAGGACCTAGGCCTGAGTCAGGGCCCAGACAGTTCCACACTGCCTTCCTAAACTACAACACAGTCCAAACCAGAAACAAAATGTCAGGAAAAAACTCGAAAAGTGAAGTCTCTCCCCACCCACAAGGTCCACCCACCAACCACACATACCCGGGAGTACTGCAGTTTGTCCACAATGTCATCACTAGTGAGGGGAATTAACCCTGTGAGACAAAGAAAAGCTCTTTAGCAAAGTCCCAATAGCCAAGCCAAGCTATGAACCCACAAATCCCTTTGGGAGCAGGGAAGGAGGGAGGGAGGGGGAGGGAGGCCTAGGCACAGTACCCTCCCTTCAACCTCCCAACACCAGAACACCAGCACTCACCAAGCCTGTGTGCGATGAACTCATCATGAAGGACTGAGGAATTGGCATCAATCTGAACCCAGTCGATGGCTGCGAGTGAAGGAAGCAGAGACACACACAAGTGGTTTAACCATCAAATTCACCTAAAGACTTACAGCAGTGCTCTCAGGGGAAGGGCAGATGAGGTGGCCAGGCTGCTGGAGGCTCTGATTTCACTGTGCTACAATGGACCCCAGAAACCTACATTTTAACAACCACACAGCCATACACAGCAGCTCTCCTTGCTGCCCAAGTGAATTTATTGCAGAGGGTTCCCTGTACCACACAGAGAAATATTGAGGGAATCACAGGAGTGGGGACATATACCTTTGAGCTGAATATTTCTGGAAGCATTGAAATGTGTTATCTGAGCCAGGAATTTAGCTCAGTGGCACCGCACCTGCCTCGAAAGCTCAAGGTCCTGAGTTCAATCCCAGGTACCAAATACATAAATAAACATGTGCTACCTGAGACAATGCCAACCTAATAAAAACTACTTGGGCACTGAGTAACACAGACTCATGATAAGAATGTATACATCTACCTATCTAAGACAAGGTCTCACTAAGTCACTAAGTTGTCCAGGCTGGGCTTTAATTTGTGATCTTCCTGCCTCAGCTTCCTATAGTGCTGGGATTACTGCCTTGTGCTGCCACGCTCAGCATTCTCTCTCATTTTGTGACATAATGACTACATCGCCCAATTTCGAGCTTCATTACCATTCCATAATAGATGTTTACTGAATTCCTAGAGGGGGCCAGTCGTACTAATATAAAACCCATTCCCCACCAGCAATGTGCTGGGACAGCAAGTACTGTACTCTTCCACATGCTTGACTTAAACACACATTTATCCATTCATAATAAACATCTTCATGTAAACAATGACATTCAGAAATTAGTGGCATGGCGGCACAACCGCCAACTTCCAGTACTTTGTCCTGCTATTCTTCCTCAGTCTGGGCAAAGGCTGTGACCCAATCTATTCCACCTCTTTACTCTTCCCCTGCCCCCGCATGGTTAATACCCTCTAAGCCCCTAAAAATGAAGTCCTGTCTACTCTCCATGATGTAGATGTGATCACTCCCTCCCTTTGAACTCCTCCCTCACACAACTCTGTCCAGACTTCCTTTAAGACACCCGTTGTAGTTTGCTTCGCATCTTATTTGTGTATGTTATGTCTCTCTCCTCTCTACCTCAAGCTTTGAAAATTCCCCGGGCAGGGTCATGAGATGCCGTTGCGTTCCTAGAGTGGGTGCTCAACATCATCTTCAGACATGAATTTGTGAGAAAAGTGGCATTTAGACTCAGGCTGTCAGGGCTGCACCACTTTACTCACGATGGAACTAAGGCCTTGAGGCACACAGAGATTTGGCAAAGGGAGGACCAGCACACCAAGCCGAGCTGAAGATGTGACTGGGGTGGTGGGAAGTACAACGTTCTCTTGATCACTAACCATTCGGCCTGCTTATTTTCTTAGAAGTCTGAAAACTTGACACGGCAGCTATGACTTGCATTTCCTTTGCCTAACCCAACTCTCTGAGCTGACACTTGGAACACACTTGTAGACTTATACAAGTACAGTCGATGTGTAAAACACTTGGAGCAGAGTGGCTAGAACCAGACTGGAAACAGGTTTGCACTGGGCTAGGCACCAAGTGCCTTGTGGCTATGCTTCTCCCGTCCTGCTCAAAGTTTACTTGTGTCACTTTGTCTATGGATTCATCTTTCTCCTGCAGCTTCACTGTGAGTTCCACCAGGGCTAAACCCCTGTTCTACACAGCAGTGCACTCCCAGTGCTCAGCACCATGCCTGGCACTCAGATGTCCCATTCGTGAAATGGAACAGAGATTCATTAGTACTGAACACTCACTAAACACAAAGCATGTAATACAGATGAGCTCACTTAAATCCTCACCATCACCCACACGCCCTGTTATTTTATCCTGTTTCCACACAGCCATTAAGTGAAACTATGGGACCCAAGTCAACCCAGGTCTGAACCCACCGCTCCTCAGAAAGCACAAACCGTGTAAGGAGGGACACAAGTGGCCCTTGGGAGCCTGGGAAGCCGGCAGAGGCCACTGCGCCAGCAGTATCGGGTCTAATCAAGTCTCCAGCATGCAGGCTTCTCAGCACCGCCACCCCGAGACCCAACCAAGGACGCAAGGCAAGGAGCCCTAAGGTGGAGGTAGGGACTGGGGCGTAAGAATCTGTGAGGGAGAAGGGCGTCTTACCTATGATGGGCACTTCTGCGATGAAGACCCTCCGAATGGAATTGGCCACCCTGAGGGAGAGACACCCGAAGGCGTGGGTCCCGCACCCCGCGCTCCCACGCCAGCCCAGGGGCAGGGTGGGAGGCTCTGGAAGGACCCCCCCCCCACCCCAACCCCGCGGAGCC